CTTGACCCAAAAACCCTTGTTTCCTGGGAAATCAGAAATCGACCAGATTAACAAGATCTTTAAGGTACGTCTTAAATCGTTGTTGCTGTTGTTCTTGCCTGTCACTCCGTGTGTATAACTGTGATGTAGACTGCTGGGTAGACTACTATCAGCAGTCAGATGACGTCCGATTTGAGCATTAAAACATGATCGGATTAAATACCAAAATCCCAACAAAACATGTCCAGACCTCAAATACTGGAATTCCTGTACTGCAGAGAAACAATGATTTAACGTTCTGAGAATGTGTATTTGTACAAAGTCAAAAGGTGACATGGTGAATAAGGCCTTGGACCCATGAACAAAAGATTGTTTGAGTGGATCCCTGTTGTCTTGCTTTTATTTTATGTTTCACTCTGTTCAGCTGGTCCTAATATGCATGCTGACAGTTTCCGTTCTTCCTGTCTTCTAATCAGGATTTGGGATCACCGAGTGAGAAGATCTGGCCAGGCTATAACGAGCTTCCCGCCGTGAAAAAGATGACTTTCACCGAGTATCCCTACAACAACCTCCGCAAGCGCTTTGGGGCTCTGCTGTCTGATCAGGGTTTTGATCTCATGAACAAGTGAGTCTTTCTGTGCTCCTTTGTACATTCCAGCAATGGGAAGAGGCGTCTGTTTATTCCTGGGATTTAGTGGTGGTTATGGAAGTTCAGGCTCTAAGCCGAGAGGTTGCAGGTTCAAGTTCTATAAGAGGTAGTGGTGTTGAACACTTCTGAAAATTTTTATGAAGTTAAAAGGTCTTCTAAGGAGAGAAATGATATGTAAACAAGCTAAAAATGCTTGTTTGGGGTAGAAACAAGCTGTGTCCTGATACTGCAGCGTTTATGCCATCTATGGAAGCAATTATTGCTAACATGAGTGAACCGAGTTGTAGGTGCAGTTTTCAGATGTATGTAGCCCCCAGCTTGTCTGTGAAGACATCTAGCCATGAGTCATTCAGATATCTATCAAAATGTTTTAACTTCACTTGGGTTCTGGAATGGGCTTTGGGAAAGTACAGTGAAGCAGCATTTGTTGTTTTACTAGGGACACAGATTTTTTCCGTGCTCTGGTAAGCAATGAGTGTTTATGGAAAGCCTGCTGTTTCCAATCAAAATTACTTTCAGATGATGATGTTAGGAGCGCTTTTTGTGTTCATAAGGGCAGTTAAACGTGAGGAAGTAGCTGCTCTGCTGCTATTGGCGGACGTGCCCTCACACTCTTCACCACGTAAAAACATATGAACGGCCCTCTCCCTGTTCTCTTTAAAATGGTGATGTGCAGAGACTGGCATCACAATTTGAGGAGATCGCCCTCAGAAGTTCATCTCCCAGGTCTGGACTTGAGCAGCTGTGCTCACGCGGAGTTCTGCTGCACCAGAAAGTCCGTCACCGCCCGAGTGCCGCAGACGTAGCATTCCCCTGTGAATTTTGCACCCTGGTGTGATTCCAGCTCTATAGTGAAGTCCTTCTGCCCTCTCTCTAGGTATATCTTAGGCCCTACTACTTCCCTAAATTTTATTCACCCCTGGCAAGGAGCCGTAATTGAAATACTGTGGCCTCTGAAGAAGGGTTGGACCTTACCCAAGGGGGGGGGGGGCTTTTGGGGGATTTTTTAGGGGCTCAGTCACGTCTTTGCACAGCCCCGACCCTAATAGGACATGTCATGGAAATGTGGCTGATTGGAATCCCAGGTTGGGAAGTGCTGTTTGGCGCGCTAATGCTGCAGCTATTCTCTGACACAATGTGTTTATTGTCCTAAAGCAGGTGTCCTACTCTATGATTATAAGTGTCTAAGCTGAGCTCATTGGCTTTTTGACAACATTAACGAGGTTTAGTTCGTGCTGCGTTTTTCATTTTGGGTGGTGGAGTGAGCAGGGCCTGCAGTGTGTATCATTCCCCTGGCTAATCACCTCGATTAATTAGCATTTAACACCCTGTTATTGTTGAGGTTGTCGGGCTTTTGGGAGAAATGGGAACCAAGACACCAGTATGTTCGCTGAGACTCCCCTGTCTCGCCCCTCCCAGGTTCCTAACTTACTGTCCGGCCCGGAGGATCTCTGCGGATGAGGCGCTCAAGCATGAATACTTCAGGGAGACGCCACTGCCTATCGAACCCTCCATGTTCCCCACGTGGCCGGCCAAGAGCGAGCAGCAGCGCGTGAAGCGTGGGACCAGCCCCCGGCCCCCAGAGGGCGGCCTGGGCTACAGCCAGCTGGTGAGGGCGCCCCCCTCAGGCTGGACTGGGGTTGAGCAGCCGTGGGTTAGCAGGAAGCTTAGTGCTAAATGAGGCAGAAAGCTGCCAGATTCTTTTCTGGGCCAGACCCTTAATCAAGGTTATTGCTATGAAATATTTAGCTTTCTAAATAAGTAAGAACATTAAGTACCTTTAGATGTCTACTCAACATTATGAGCAGCTGAAAGTGTGTCATCTGGGAGGGCTCTACCAATATATACATGGACATCATGCATAACCCAGTTTGGCTCGATACAAACCGCCTAATGTAGACAGGATGGGAGGCAATAAAGTAGGTAGCTCTGTAAACAACTAACAAAATAATTACAGAAGGACGGCAGAGTGGTCGTGTGACTCAGACAACCGGAGATTAAACTGAAGAGAATGTGGGTGGTTTTTGACACTTGGGTAATGTTTTGTTTCCTTTGTCCTTAAGGGAGATGATGACTTGAAGGACACTGGCTTTCATCTGACCACCACGAACCAGGGAGCGTCTGCAGCCGGACCTGGGTTCAGCCTCAAGTTCTGATCCAGGCTTTCCGACACTGACTGACTCGTTGGGGCTTCCGTGGCATCTTCTGTCTTTTGGGTGAGGGATGGACTCATTCTGAGAGAGACCGCTAATCAAAGGCACCCATGCAACTGAGAGACACTGGAGGCCATGGAGACGACAGAAGTTCAGAAGTCACCCGTCGCTTGTTCTCATTGAGAAAGCAGAAAAGACTGTTTTTAAGACTGAGAGTGAGTTTATTTCACTCCGAAGTTCTTCCTGATAATTCCGGTGAGGGAAGCCTGCTGATTTGTTTTGAGTAACGCCCAGATGGATGGTCCTGCTAAAAACTCTTTTGTTTTCCTTTCATGAGAGCAGGTAATCCCATCCTGTCCAAATGTAAGAAATGTTTTGCCACAATATAAACTCCTATTGCGTCTGGACTATGCGTTCATCTCATACTTGTGACATCGGACCCCTGCAGCAGTAGGTTATAAGAAGTTCTTGGGAATTCAACAACCAGGACTGTCATCTCCTTGCTAGAGAGAACTGGTTTGTTTTATTTTTCCTTTTACTACCAGCTAATTTTTAATTATTTTTTTCACTTCACCGTGGTGATCCTGTACTAGGTAATAGGTTGATAAACCGACAATGAAGTGAAATGATCTATCCATTTAATTCTGACCAAGGAACTGATTTGGAAGATGTTATTCTTAAAATAAAATTCTTTGACACTTACTGTATCTCTTTCATTAGTCTGCATGGTCACTTTCAGGGTTCCTCTGAGTAACATTGAATTACACACAGCACTAAACAACAAATATAGCCTCACTGGTTTTCCCTCAATTTTAATTCCTAAGAAATAAATCTTGAGAGATTGTGGGGAAAATGTATGCCTCTGTTAGGCTGAGCAGGAGCCATCCAGATGGGTGACGTCATCACACGCCATCCAGATGGGTGACGTCATCACACGCCATCCAGATGGGTGACGTCATCACACGCCATCCAGA